AGTATGCTTCAGCAAGAATGTGTGCAAGGCTGACGAAAATTCCATTACTGATACTAAAACAATTAAAATATTGTAAAAGTAGGCCAGTATTTTCAGACTCTAAGAACACTTAAATTGATTCTTTACTACCTTTTATTTGAAAAAGTATTACCAGCAACCAGCTCCTGTTGTCTTCAGAGTACTACTATATTAAATAATTGTCAATACAATCTGTGCTCCAAAACCTGGCAGGCTCAAAGCAACTGTTTCCACTTCAATCCACATGAACAGAACCACTACCCATGATATAAAAAATATTTAATATACATTACAGCAGATTTCTATAATTTTTAAAACCTATAAAACACTCAATTTAAAAATGTTTTCTTATCAGTTCTTCCAAGAGTACAACTGGCTCATTTATAAGTCAACTTATTTTTCTAAACGTGTTAATCTTTCTGAAATCATGACATCTGATTCCAGATGCTAAGATTTCCTGACTGCCCTCCTTTGAATCCTTCAAGTATATTTAGCATATACTCCTATAATAGCTTCTCTCAAATGAGAAAACAGTTGTTTTTCAATCATTCAAAGAAAGGCCTGAATGTTATTTTAGGCTGTATATCTTCTAGTCGTATACTTAAATATATGTCTATATATATGTGTACTTATTACCCATATTCATGTGAATGTGTAAATAAACATATATAATATTGTATGTCGTATATTCCCATATTATTGTTCTTCTGTTTAATAGTAGTTGTGTACTGTAAAATACAAATGACCTGCTTTTATCAGATTAAAGAAATTGTTTCCAGTTTATTACAAACAAAGCTATGATGAATTCCTTTTGCATAAATCTTTATGTCCATCTCTGATGACTTCCTGAAAATAAATTCTTAGATGTAGTGTTGATGAATCAAAACGTATAAACACTTTTAATGATCTTGACAAGTATCACCAAATTGTCCCTCCAGAGAGGGTATACTAATTAACACTCTAATTAACAATATATGAATGTACCCACTTTATCCAGTTCTTTATAATTTTTTAGGTCTTTGACAATTTGATGAGAGTCGGTAACAACATATATTTTAATCTGTATCTTTTGTTAACAAGTAAGAGCAAAAAAATCTTTCATGTTTCTTGGCTATTTATATTTCTTTTATAAATTACATTTTCATTGTTTTCCATATTTTTCTGTTGAGAAATATCTCTCTTGCCTATTAGACTGTAAAATCTCTTTATATATAAAAATATTAATTTTTTATCTGTCATATGCTTCAAATGTTTTTCCCAATTTGTCAAATATCTTTTTACTGTTTCTGTTGTGTTTTATAATACAGAAATTTTTTTCATTTTTATGTGATCAATCTAGAAACAAGTGTAGCAACTACTTAGAAATTTGGACTTTGAAGTCAGAAACTACATTAAAAGCCTGGCTTAAACACATATGTGTGACCATGGGCAAACTACTTAACGTCTCTGAAAGTCAGTTTCCTTATCTGTAAAATGGAGACACTGCCACATACTACACAAAATTGCTATGAGGATTCATTCATTCATTCACTGCTTCCCACCATGTCTGCCAAGCAAATAATAAGCATTCATTAATAGCAGCTGTTGTTATTATCATAAATAGACACCACATTTTAATTTTTTTTTGCCATTTATTGATTTTAGAGAGAGAAGAAGTGAGAGGAAGAAAGAGATAGTAACATCAATGATAGAGAACATTGACAACAAGAGAACATCAACTGGCCGCCTACTGCAAGCCCCGCACTGGGGATTCCGGCCCACAACCTGGGCATGTGTCCTGACCGGGAATCAAACCGGTGACTTCTTGGTGCATGGATCAAGGCTCAACCAATAAGCCACACCAGCTGGACAACACATTCTAATTTTTTTTAAATAAGATTTCTGCCACTCAACATTCGGCAGTCTTTTTTTTTTTAATACTTTTTTTTACTTTATTAACTTTTAGAAAGAGAGAAAGGAAGGAGAAATATCAATGAGAGAGCACATCGAATGGCCACCTCCTGCATGCCCCTCACTGAGGATCTGTCCCACAACCCGGGCAGGTGCCCTGACCAGAAATGGAACCTGCGACCTCTTGGTGCATGGGTCGACACTCAACCACTGAGCCACACCAGCCGGACACCACATTTTAATTTTTTACAACTCTCAGTTAAGTGTGTATAAAAATCACTTAAGACCCTAGCTAGATTCCTAGGCTTCACCCCCAGAATTTTTTATTATGTAAGTAGAGGATGGAGCCCTAAAACATATATTGCTAATAAGAATTCTCAGGTGATTCTGATGCAGGTAATCCAGGAACACTCCAAAAAGAAATACTTGTTCATGGATTGTGCCTTCAGTGATATACTGGGAATATTCTTCCTCGTGCCAGAATTAAATAAATCCTCCTATATTTTCTCCTTTATTACTGTGGGTCTTTTAAAAAATATTTAATCTATCTAAAATACATTTTATGATATAGTTGGCTAAACTGACTCAACACCATTTGTTGAATAATCACCCTTTCCCATCTGATTTGAAAAAGATCTCCTCTACCACAGGGAAATTATTGTAGTTTCCACTGCTTTACCATATGCCTTAATAACTGGTAAGGGATATCCCCTAATTACGTTTGTTTTTCAAAATTTTCTTGCTCATAATCTTGCCTGTTTGATTTGCCAAACAATTTTTTCCTGTGCTCAATAAATATTTACTGACTTAATGGAGGCAGTGGATTTTACAAATACAAATTAACTTCATAGTAATTCTTCCAAAGTCTCATTGAATCTTTGCTTGGAATTATATTAAAATTTTTCAATCTCTCCATTTCTTCAAATCTTATTTTTTTCCATTTTTTTTTCTTTATTGATTTTAGAGAGAGGAAGGGAGAAGGAGAGAGAGATAGAACATCGATGAGAGAGAACATCGACTGGCCACCTCCTGCATGCTCCCCACCAGGGACTGGGCCCACAACCTAGGCATGTGCCCTGACTGGGAATCGAACCAGCGACCTCTTGGTGCATGGGTCAAAGTTCAACCACTGAGCTACACCGGCTGGGCTCTTCAAATCTTTTAATATTGAAGTATATTTTCTTCATAAAGACCTCCTACATTTCTTATTAACTTTATTCCTTGGTTTGTACTTCTGTTACAGATAAGAGAAGTAGTTTACAATATGAACTCTCAACTCAGATTGCTTAGGATCTGATCTAAGCTCTAACCATTATTAGCTATGTGAATGACACTGAGTCAGTTACTTAACCTTTCCAAGCCTTTCCAAGTTTCTTATCATAAAATTGGGAGTGACAATAATATTTATCTACAGGATTATTGTGAGACGATAATAAGGTAATGTATGTAAATGATTTATAGAGCGACTACAGAGAGGAAATGTTCAATAACTGTTAGCCAATATTATTAATGAAATTAATGAGACACTCTCTCATTATATTTTCAAACTAATTATTGCTATTAGTTAGTTGCTGGTATTTTCTTATTTATCTGTGTCCAAATATGTCCCCTGAACTTCCCTACTATTCTACTTTTTCAGTTAATTCTCTAAATGTGAAAAATACTAGCTGCTTAAAATTTAAAAAAACATACTAACAACAAAAAAGTTTTAAAATGTTACCAGAAAAAGTTAAAAGGCAAATGAACTTTTTAAAATTTCCAATAATGCATGTAAGAAGTTAACATATGACCCTGGCTGATTTGGCTCAGCGTTTGGAGCATTGACTCTCAGACCAAAGAATCTTAGGTTCGATTCCAGTCAAGGGCACGAACCTCAGTTGAGGTTTGATTCCAGGCCCTGGTCGGGATTGTGCGGGAGGTGCCAGTCAATGTGTCTCTCTTGCATTCATGTTTCTTTCTCTCTCTCCCCCCCTCCCCCATCCTCCCACTCTATCTGAAGATAAAATGGAAAAATATCCTCAGGTGAGGATGAAATAAATAAAATAAAGAAGTTAATTTTGGGCATCTAGCTATCAGAATAAAAATTATTCAATAAGCTGTGTGGAAACAAATGATTGGTGATATAGAAAACATTTAAATTGGATTCTCAATTCAAAGTATATGTTAATATAAATACCAGAAAGAACAATAAATCAAGGCTCAAAATCAAACCTTAAAAATTCCAAAAGACTGCCCAGTTTGTGTGGCTCAGTGGATTGTGTGTCGTCCCATAGACTGAGAGGTCCTGGTTCGATTCCCAGTCAGGGCACCAGCCAGGGTTTTGGGCTGGATCCCCAGTAGGGGGCATGCAGGAGACAGCGGATCAATGTGTCTCTCTCACACAGATGCTTCTATCTCTCTCCCTAAAAAAATCAATAAAAACATATTTTAAAAAGAAAATGAAAAATATTAAACCTACAAAAATTCAGTCCTGGCAGGTCTGGCTCAGCAGTTAGAGCACTGGCCCATGGAACAAAGGGTCACAGTTTAATTCTGGTCAAGGACACATACCTGGATTATGGGTTCAATCCCCAGCCCCAGTTGGGGTTGTGCAGGGGGCAACCAATCAATGTGTCTCTCTCACATCGATGTTTATCTCTCTCTCACTCTCTCCCCACTCCTTCCCTTCCACTGTAGCTAAAAAACTCAATGGAAAAATATCCTTGGGTAAGGATTAACAATAAATAAATAAATAAAACTACAAAAATTCATTTATTTTATAGCTTGCAAAAGTTAGTCTTTTGATTTTAGAGAGAAAAGGAGGGAGAGAGGGATAGAAACACCAATGAAAGAAAACAATGAATGGTTGCCTCCTGCATGCCTCCCACTGGGGATTTGGCCCACAATTTGAGCATGTGCCCTGACTGCAAATCAAACCAGTAAACTCTTGGTGCATGGGTTGCTGCTCCACCAGCTGGGCGCAAAAGTTACTGTAATTAGTGATTACTTTAAAAAGAAAAAGTACCTCCATATCAACTCACTTGCAAAAAAGAGAATGAAAACCCAATGACAAAATAAACTATTCAACAGTGGTAAAGTCGAGTCAAACATACCTATAAGTTCAGGTGGGTTTCTTTCATTAAACTGCTCACACAGACGAATAAATGTCTCAGTATTCTCAGTTGTAGGGCATTCACCATGTCTAGCAATATGAAAACATTTTTTTAAAAAAGAGATTACACATTTCAGCAAAAGGTTTCAATATTAAAGAACCTTGGGACTTGGAGAGTTTACGCTAAGCAAAATAAGTCAGTCAGAGAAAGACAAATATCACATGATCTTACTTATATGTGGAATCTAACAAACAAAAGAAACTGACAAACAAGAGACATGAAAGCATGGAACAGACTGATGAATCTCAGAAGGAAGGGGGTGGGTGTGGGAAGAGACACAAACAATAATGTGGTGAAAGCTTGGGGGAGGTAAGGGGTGCAGGATTGATGGGGTCAATGGGAGAAAAGAGTGGGGACATCTGGAATATTTTCAACAATAAAGTTAATTTTAAAAAAAGAATCTTAATACATGACTTACCCTTTACACTTAAGTTTTATATATTTGATTCCTTCTTTCTCTATGTCGTTTCTGTCATAGAATCTTGAAGTATTTGTCAAATCCACCAACAAGCTCATTTTAATCTAATTTAAAAAAAAAAATGGCAGATTTACTAGTAACTGAATTTGTTCCAAAACAAGCTGACAATATGGCAATACACCAATTCATTCATTTACGCTGAGGGAGATTTTATGCTCACTCTGCCAGTGAACTATTAACAATGTAAGTATCACTTATTCAAGGCATTATAACTCACTTAGCAGGCAGTAAATGAAATTAACCTCCAAACTAATGATGGAACAAGAACATAAACAAAACAGACTCCACTTCAGCATCACAACAATCTACCTTAAAAAGCAAGCACTAATATAGTTTTTAGCATCTGCCAATCCACCTATGATATATTAGACAAGAGGCTAATAGCATCTATCTGAAATACACCCCAACCCAAACAAGCTCCAGGCACACACACTAGCCCAGCATTCCAAGCAATCATCACATGTAAGGCAGTTAAATTCTAAAGTGAGTATACAGGGTAAAAACTGTACAGTTGAAATTCCCCTGTAAATCCTTTAAATAATCAAGAAAAAACAGAACACATGGCCATTTGTCAATCTCACTGAAGACTTAATCCCATCTCTCCGCCAGTTTTTCTTTCTGCATTGAAACAAAAATCATTATTTCTTCTGTTAAGCGCTGACAGTTGCATTCAGCCTGGCAAGATAATCTTGCTAAACACCTGAACTTGAGCCAAGGTTATATTCTCTGGAAAGAATGAAAAGAAATGTAATTTGTACTTTCTAAATTGTTATTTTTATCTCTTTTGTTATTATTGCATTTACTGAGTACCTAATGTTGGATTTGCCTTAAGGAGACTGGTTTACTCCATTGTTTAAGGGCAGAAAATGACAAAAACATTTCAATGTCACACACGATGACAGAGAAAACAATATGCTTCTAAAATATAACTAGCTGCCATAATGTGCTCTGATTTTTTTAGATTCCTTAGCTTATGTGTAGATGAGAGACGGGTCTATCAATAAGGTGAGTTCTTCCTTACAGGAAATGTATTTTTGATGGTATTTTCTGCAATTTGCCACCTCTGGGCCTACTTCTCTTCTCTTCCCACATAGCTTCTGCAGTGATCTTAATATCTTCAGAGAATATATACTGCCAAATACAAAGATTTAGATACCATATTACAGCTTCTCAGTGAGTCAGAATTAGAATCCATAATGTTTTGTTTCCAGATTCAAAATAAAATTTGAATGTAAAGTGGGCTAGGCAAAAAAAATAATAATTTTCTAAATATATAAGAACACTTGAGCCAAGAAAACTGAGAAAGTATATTGTGCGACTTAACTGCCGAGCCCCACATATTTTTTTTTATGTAGAAATGTGTGTGTTGATATGTCTGTGTGGATAATGTGTGTGAGAATGTACCTGTGTGTAACATATACACATACATATTATTACATCAACATATGTATTTTTCATAATAAATAATCCCAATTCATGAGTAAAGATAATAGTACTACCTCATAAAATTATTATGAGGTTTAAATCAAACGAGGAAAGTGAAACATGAATAGATTATGTAATTTATCCACAAAGCTGTAAGTGGCAAACTGGAATTTAAACCCAGGCTGGCTTCTAAGCCCAAACTCTTAGTTCACTGGTTTGGAAATTTGTAATGCTTCATAAATGTTAACTATGATTTTCAATACAATTATTGATAATGAAAATAAAAATTAGAAGTTTGGCCCTAGCCAGTTTCGCTCAGTGGTTAGAGCATCAGCCCACAGATCAGAGTCGTGGGTTCAATTCTGACCAAGGGCACATACCTCAGTTGCAGTTCATCTCCGGCCCTGGTTGGGGTCATGCAGGAGGCAACCAGTCAGTGTCTCTCACATATATCTCCCTCCCTTTCACTCTATCTAAGGATAAATGGAAAAAATATCCTCAGGTGAGGATTTAAAACATAAAAAAATTAAAAATTAAAAGTTTGTAAGCAAGCTAAAATAAAATACATAAACAAAGACTCAAAACTACACCAAGAAAATGATGAGTAAAACGTTTTCAAAATCCAAATAGTGACTCTTCTATCCCATGATAGAAGCCTTACACATAATGGGCACTAAAATTTGTTGAATATACTAATATATAGTATACAATAATAGACTATCAAAATAGAAAAGTTATAAAGATTAATGTCAGGAGTTGAATTATACCCCCTAAAAAGATAAGTTCAAGTCCCAAATCTCTATGAATATGACCTTAATTGGAAATAGTGTTATAGGGTCGTTGCAAGTATAATTAAGAAAAGATGAGATCATACTGAATCAAGGTGTCCTTACAAGAGAAAAATTTGGACACAGATATACACAAGAATATCAACAATGAAGCAGAGACAACTGATGCAGCTGCAAGCTAAGGAATACCAAAGATTGCTGGTAATCACCAGAAGCTAGGAAAAGCAAAGAAAAGATTCTCCATCCAAGCCTCAAGAAAGAACCAACCTTGCCAACACTTAACGTTGGAATTTCTAGCATCTAAAACTGAGAGAATAGACTTCCAGTCAAGATGGCAGCGTAGGTAAACATGGTACTCGCCTCCTCCCACAACCACATCAAAATTACAACTAAACTAAAAGAACAACCATCATTCAGAAATGCCTGACATCAAGCTGAATGGAAGTCCTACAACTACGGAATTAAAGCAGCAGCCACATGGAGACTGGTAGGAGGGGAGCAGGCATGGATGGGCTGGTCCCATACCCACATGTGGCAGATAAAAATCAGGAAGGACACTTCAGCTGGGAAGGTCCTCCCTGAGGAGTGAGGGGTCCTCATCCCACACCAGGCGCCCAGCTCAGGGTTCCAGTGCCAAGAAGAAAAGTCCCCACAACTTGGGCCATAAAAACCAGCGGGAACTGAGGCTGAGGGAAGTGGAGGCTGCTGAAGCCCCAGGCAGCTCCTCTTAAAGGGCCGCACATGGACTTACTCGGACCAGCTCCCTCTGAGCTCCAGCGCAGAGGGAAGGCAGATTGAAAGGCACCAGAGACATTCGGGAAAGAACTGAGTTGTCTGGCATCGGGGCAAGGACTGGAGAGGCAGCTTTCTCCTGGACAGACATGCTGGTGGAGGCTGTTGTTCCTTTGGTGAGCCCTTCCCCCAAAGGGAAGGTAGACAGTTGCCATATCTAGGACTCCAGCAGCTGGGCTCACAGTTTGCCCCGCTCTGGTGATTCCCTGAAGCCCCACCCCACCCAACTTTCAGGCCCACCCAAGTTGTTTCCAGTGGCTTTACCATAGGAGTGGCCTATTTTGGCTCCCGCTTCAGATTTTCCTAAATTCTCTCAAACAAACAGCATCTGGCCTCAGCAAGCCCCATACCTCTCGCTAAGTGGCCCCAGGCCTGGCACTAGGAGCAGCCAGCCTTGGTCCACAGCTTGGCTTTGCCTGAGCATCTTCAAGCCCAGCACAAGAAGCAGCCATCTGCAGCTCGTTTTGCAGCTTATGCCTGGTGGCCCTGGGTAGAACACAGGCAGTAGCTGACCTTGGCCCAGAGCCAGCACACCAGTGGACAGCTTCCGACCACATCGTAGCACCACCACCCAACCACCTCCACAAACGACACACTCAAGGAGTGGACTCAGTGGGTACCAGAGTCCTGCTGAAGTAAGTCTTGCTCTGTGTAGTGGGCCGCTGCACAGCTAATCCTCCAGGGTAGTCAGAGGCCTGTGGTCAATGAGCACAGCCAGTCCTTACAGCTGATCAGTCTGAGTAAATCCCTCCCATTGACATGCCAACAGCAATCAAAACTCAATTACAACCCTGGCCGGTTTGGCTCAGCGGTTAGAGCGTCAGCCTGCGGTCCCGAGAGACCCGGGTTCGGTTCCCGCTAAGGGCATGTACCTCGGTTGCAGTTTGTCCCCGGCCCTGGTTGGTCGTGCAGGTGGCAGCCACTCGATGTGTCCCTTTCACATCGATGTTTCTCTCTCTCTCCCTCTCTCCCCCTCCCACTCTACCTGAACAAAAAATAGAAAAATGTCCTCAGGTGAGGATAAAAAAAAAAACAAAAAAAAAACTCAATTACAACAGAAGGATGTACAGTCCACACTAGGGGTGCACCTTGAGGGCTCAGCTGGGGTGACAAGGGAGGCTGTGCTACTGGACTCTACAAGACACCTACTATAATAGGCCACCCTAGGAAGCCCAGGAGACATAGCAACTCTGTCTAATACATAGAAACAAACACAGGGAGGCAGCCAAAATGAGGAGACAAAGAAACATGTCCCAAATGAAAGAACAGAACAAAACTCCAGGAAAAGAACTAAATGAAATGGATATAAGCAATCTGACAGATGCAGAGTTCAAAACACTGCTTATAAGGACACTCAATGAATTTAGGGAGGGCCTCAAGAGCATAATAAAAGACCAGTCAGAAATGAAGGATGCACTAACTGAAATAAGGAATAATTTACAGAGAATCAATAGTAGAGTAGGTGAAGCCAAGAAGCAAACCATCGATTTGGAATCTAAGAAAGCAAAAAACACCCAATCAGAACAGCCAAAAAAAAAAGAATCCAAAAAAATGAGAATAGTATAAGGAGTTTCTGGGACAACTTCAAGCATACCAACATTTGCATCATGGGAGTGCCAGAAGGAGAACAGAGGGCAAAAAATTGAAAACCTATTTGAAAAAAGAATTACATAAAACTTCCCTAACTTGGTGAAGGTAACAGACATACAAATCCAGGTAGTACAGAAGAGTCCCAAACAAGATGAACCCAAAGAGGTCCACACCAAGACATATCATCATCATCATCAAAATGCAAAAGGTGAAAGACAAAGAGAGAACCTTAAAAGCAGCAAGAGAAAAGCAATTAGTTACCTACCAGGGAGCTCCCACAAGGCTGTCAGCCGATTTCTCAAAAGAAACTCTGCAGGCCAAGAGGTGGTAAGAAATATTTAAAGTGATGAAAAGCAAGGACCTACAACCAAGATTACCCTATCCTGCAAAGCTATCATTTAGAATCGATGGCCATATAATTTCCCAGACAAGAAAAAGCTAAAGGACTTCATCCCCACCAAGCCAGTATTATATGAAATGTTGACGAATCATCTTGAAGATAAAAAAATATGAACAATAAAATGGCAATAAATACATATCTATCAATAAATAAATAAATAAATAAATAAAAAACAGAGAGAATAAAGGTCTGGGCTTTTTTAAATAATCTTTTTATTTTTCACTTACAGCTGACATACAATTATATATTAATTTCAGGTGTACAACCCATTGACTTAGACATTTACATAACGTATGAAGTGACTGCCCCAATGAATCTAATACCCATCTGACACCATACATAGTTATAAATATATTCCCTATGCTGTACTTTATCTCCCTATGACTATTCCGTACCTACCAATTTGTACTTCTTAATCTCTTCACCTTTTTCACCCATTCCCCCAAACCCTTCCCATCTGGCAACCGTCGAAAAGTTCTCTGTACTGAGACGTGGAAGTGGGGTACAGAATGACAATCCCCAGAAGAGGGGGTGGTGGGGGAGAGATAAACCACAGAACTTATATGCATGTATGCATGATCAATGAACATGGACAACAAAGCTGGGGACAGGGTGGTGAGGGAGGGGAGAGTGGTATCAGTGGGGGGGAGAAACATCTGTAACAAAAATAAATTAATTAATTAAATTCTAAAAAAAAGAAAAAAGTTATCTGTATTGATGAGTCTGTTTTCATTCTGTTCATTTATTTTGTTTTTTAGATTCCACATATAAGTGAAATCATCTGGCATTTATCTTTCTCCGTCTGAATTATTTCACTTAGCATAATACCATCTAGTTCTAGCCATGTTGTTACAGACAGCAAGATTTCATTCTTTTTTATGGCTGAATCATATTCCATTGTATATGTGCAACACTTCCTCTTTATTCATTCGCCTATTGTTGAACATTTAGGTTACTTCCATATCCTGGCTATTGTAAATAATGCTGCAATAAACATATGGCTACATATGTCCTTTTGATTTAGTGTTTTGGGTTTCTTTGGATAAATACCAGAAGTGGTGTTGCTGGGTCCTTCTTTGTCTCTTGTTATAGCCTTTGTTTTAAAGTCTATTTTGTCTGGTATAAGTATTGTTACCCCATCTTTTTATTTTGTTGTTTCCATTTCCATGAAATGTCTTTTTTCATCCCTTTACTTTCAATCTGTGTGTGTCTTTCGATTTGAAATGAATCTCTTGTAGACATATGTAAAGGTCTTGTTTTGTTATCCATTCAGTGTTTTGATTGGAACATTTAATCCATTTGCATTTAAAGTAACTTGATACATATGAATTTATTGCCATTTTATTACTCGTATTTTGTATTTTTTTCTTCTTAAAGAAGACCCTTTAACATTTCTTGTAATACTGGTTTGGTGGTGATGAACTCCTTTAGCTTTTTAGTGTCTGGGAAGTTTTTTATTAGTCCTGCTGGGTAGAGTAATCTTGGGTGCAGGTCCTTGCTTTCCATTATTTTGAATATTTCATGCCACTCCCTTTTGGCCTGCAAAAAAATTCTGCTGAGAAATCAGCTGAGAGTTTTACAGGAGCTCCCTTATAGGTACCTAACTGTTTTTCTCTTGATACTTTTAAGATCCTCTGTTTGTCTTTAATCTAAAGTGCTGTTGTTTCAAGCCACCCAGTTTGTGTTAACTTGTTACTGCAGCCCTAGGAAACTAATACAATCAGTATTATGTCCGAATAACATAATAAATTACAGTTTCATTTAGAAAAATAGTTTGGCACATTATTATAAAATTAACCTTGCACTCAGCCAACCATACTCATGGGTATCTGTCCCAGAAAAATGAAAACTATGCTCACACTAACACCTGTACATGAATGTTCATGGCAGCTTTATTCACAATAGCCCACAACTAGAAACAATTCAAAATGGTTTAAAAGTTATTTAACCATTCAATGAGAGAATGATTTAATAAATTCTGGTACATCCATACAACTGAATAGTCTTCAGTAATAAAAAAAAAACAAACTTTTTGTTGATATATGCAACCACAAGGGAATTATGCTTAATGAGAAAAGCCAATACCAAAACAGTCTCATACTGTTTTATTCCATTTATATAAAATTCTCAAAATGATCAAAATATTAAGATGCTACTCTGTATAGGACTGGGTCTGGAAGAGTTCTGTAACCACCACCACAAATCTATACATTGGATCAAACTACAAATAACTATACACACATATACACAAATGAATGCATATAAAAACTGGTAAAAAAAACAACTTGCCCTGGCTAGTGTGGCTCAGCAGTTAGAGCATCGGCCCACAGACCAAAGAGTCACAGGTTCGATTCTGGTCAAGGGCACGTACCTTGGTTGCAGTTCATCCCCAGCCCTGGCAAGGGAAGTGCAAGATGTGTCTCTCTCACATCAATGTTTCTCACTCTCTCTCCTCCTCCCTCCCACTCTATCTGAAGATAAATGGAAAAGTTTCCTTGGGCCCTGGCCATTTGGCTCAGCGGTTACAGCATCAGCCGCGGACCAGAGAGTCCAGGGTTCAGTTCCCACTAAGGGCACGTACCTCAGTCGCAGTTTGTCCCTGGCCCCGGATGGGGTCGTGTGGGTGGCAACTACTCAATGTGTCTCTCTCACATCAATGTTTCTCTCTGTGTCTTCCTTCCTCTCTCCCTCCCGCTCTATCTGAAGATAAATGCAGAAATGTCCTTGGGTGAAGATTTTTAAAAAAGCATCCTGGGGTAAGGATTAAAAATAAAAACTAAGGTCTGCAATCTACACAATGGTTCTGTACCAATGTAAATTTTCTGCTTTAGATATTATACTACAATTATATAAGATGTCACCATTGGGAATAAATGGAGGAAGAGCTCATAGAACTCTGTACGATTTTTGCAATTCAAAATAAAAAGTTTTTTTAAATAAAAAAAAAGCCACGTGAAGAACAAGAGAAGGCTCAAGTATATTAAATCAGTATCAACAATGTTTTGTTTCTTACCTTCAGACTCTTGAGATAATTTGAGAGCATACTGGGATGGAACCGATTTTCTTCAGCAACTTGACTATCATATCTTGGTCCTAACATTGTCTTCAGAGGTAAGAATCTTCCTAAACAACATAAAGATGGGTAACAATGTTGATTTAAAAAAAAAAAAAAAAGATCCAGGTTAAAACTCTATAATTAGCAATTCTCAAAAATCACTTTCTTAAAATGTTTTAAATGAATTGTTCATAAAGCATTCTCAATGTAAACTATATTTTTGAAAGATACTGCCTTGGAACTTTTAAGGACTACATAAATTCTAGAAATTGACAATCAAATATATATAGCAAAAGAGAAATTACCAGGTAATAGAACTGTGAAGACTCTTAAGTTCTAAACCACTACATTAAAAAAATATTGCCTTAAAACCTTTAAAGATATGGTACGAGAAATTTGTAATGAAGTGAATTAAATCAATTCTTTAAAATTTCTAATAATACTTTTTTAATATGAACTTGGAATTCTCTCCATCTTATGAATCTTATCCTTATCTAAGGATAAGGATCATGTTAAGAAGCATACTAACCAAAATCACTGTCCAAACAATGATCAGTGATTATAATTACAGCAAGACTGATTGACCTTCTTGGCCTTTTTTTCTGAAGTCACCTTATATAATCAAATTTTAAATCACCCATTTTAACTGATTTATATTTTAAAATACAATAAAACAATAAGAATAAATAACTACCTAAAATAATATCTAAATGAAATCTTAGCATCTGTCCAGAGGCTTTAACTTTTTATAATTTTTATTTTCTACAAAACCACTCAGGATCACCAATAGCCCTGGCCAGGTGGCTTAGCTGGTTGGAGCATCGTCCTATACACCAAAAAGGCTGTGGATTCAATTCCGAGTCAAGGCATATACTTAGGCTGACAGTTCAATCAGGTTGGGGCACATACAGGAGACAACTGATTGATGTTTCACTCACATATCTCTCTCTCTCTCTCTCAAAATAAAAATAATAATAAAAACATATTCTCCAGAGAGGATATTAAAAAAGATCACCGTCTGGCCAGTGTGGCTCAGTGGTTAAGCGTCAACCCATGGATTAAGAGGTCGCTGGTTCAGTTCCCGGTTAGGGCAAATGCCCGGGTTGTGGGCCAAATCCCTTGTGGGGGACATATGGGAGGCAGCCAATCGATGTTCTCTCTCATCAATGTTTCTCTCTCTTTCCTTCTACCTTCCTCTTTCTCTAAAATCAATAAAGAAAAAAATTTTTTTTAAAGAACACCAATAACCTCCACATTGCTAAATCCAATGGTCAGTTCTCAGTTCTCAAACAACAGATCACTTTTTAATTCGAGAGGGAGCTCCTGGATCACTTTTTCATTTGGCTTCCAGGACATTACAACTTCCTGGTTTCCCTATCTCTCTGGCCTCTCTTTTTCAGTCTCCTTTACTGCCTCCTCCTTATCCCTCTGACCACTCTGTGTTTTGTCCCAGGGCTCTGTCCTTGGATTTCCTTTCTATCTACACTCACTCCCCTAGTGTCTCATCTAGTCTCAGAGCTTTAAAAGCCACCAATGTGCTTAAGCCTCACAAATGTGTATCTCTAGCCCAAACCTCTCCCTTAACTCTAGTGGCTATCAAACTGCCTACTTGCCTTAGTCTCCACTCGATGTCTTACAGACATCTCAGACTTGATATCCAAATATGAGCTCTCAATATTCAATTTCCAAAATCTGCTCCTCTCATTGTCTTCCCTGTCACAGCAAATGGTAACATCATTTTTTTAGTAGCTCAGGCCAAAACTTTAGAGCTATCCTTCACCTTGACCCTCTCTTTCTCACAAGTCCCACATCCACTCCATTAGCAAATCCTGTCACATCCATCTTTAAAATATATCCAGAATCTCACCACTTCTCACCACCTCTACCATTATCTCATCTAGACTGTTATACTTCATTTAGTTTATTTAACAGAGTGCCTATTATGTACCAGGCAATGTTCTAGGTGCATGGAATACATTAGTGGGGGGGGGGGGGGGGACAGAAAAAATCCCTGATAGAGCTTATATTCTACTGGGGAAATATAAACCGTAAACAATAGACATAATAAATAAGTAAATAATATGATATGTTAGAAGATTAAACCCATTAGACACTCTCTCTAACTATCTATCTAGCAAACTTCTATTTATTCAAGATAATCCATGTATAAGCTCCTCTGGGAAGCCTTCCTCTTCTTACCCAACCTCAAACAAAGAATTAGGTTCATTACCTCTGGTATCCCATAATATTCTATAATGGTCATTACTGCATTTATTACAACAGAACTGTTTTAAAATAATGGTTTGCTACTCCCATGAGACTATGTGCTCTTTAAGGTGCACGTGGTCTCCCTAGGTCCAAGGAGTAGCACAAAGTAGACACTCAAATATTTGCTAAGTAAAATGACTTCAAAATTACCATCACTGTCACAACACTATCTCATATTTATATTCCCAGTTAGTTCCTAGTAAGTTCTTTACACATAGTAGGAACAAGGTAATTTTATGTTCAATGATCTTTAAGAAATAAGAAGTTTGTTTTCTTCAAAGTGTTCACTTGAAATCTATCACTCAGAAGGAGAAAAAATAATTCTTCAGAAATAGAGCCTGGCCCTGTCTACAGGAGCTCTCACTGGAACTCTGGTTTAATTAGAGAAGATTTCATAGTGGAACACATTATATACATAATTAGCACCATCATCTTTCTGATTCAGGAAAATTATGAACTTCTGGTACTAATAAAATGTATCCTAATGTTTACAATGAGAAAATTTAAGCAGGCATAACAAATTTTCCTACATATGTAAAATATCAAAGAAATTATACAATAAGCATGAATTACTTTTATAATTAGAAAAAATAAAAGAAAAAAAGGAGGTGGAAAATGGGAATGGGAATATTTTCGTATTTTTCACTAAAGCTTTCAGGAATATAGCTAGTACTTCTTGCTCTGCTATTATAAAACGCTGCTAACCCTTCATTTCCAAAATACACAATGTGGCATGAACACTTCTAGAATACAGAGAGACACAACTTGAAGGGAAACTCAGAGAAGCATCAAGAATTCTAGGTTGCATTCACCTTACTTTCTAATAAGCATCACAAGGTGAAGCACTGCTGATTGTAAGTAACAATACAGGAGGCCTGGGGTTCTGTCCAGGGACCACAATCAATCAGACACACGAGCTTAGTGACTCCTAAACCACAATAATTATGAATCTAGCAAAACACTTCAGTACTAAATAGGAAAAACTTTTTATTCCTGACCCTTCATTGTCAGCAGATGGAGAGGGAAAAAAGGCACACAACTCTGTTTCTTGGAAAGGTATAAAGGTGCCCGGAGCCCAGCACCTCACCTGCTGCTATTGACCCCCTCAGTGCTACATTCGTCTCATTTTTAATCTAATAAGTCGGTGTTCTGATATTTGTCACTGCCATCCTGCAGACTATATTAAAATTCTTATTTTTAAGTTATTTTTCAAATTCAAAAAAGAATTCACTTTGGCCCTAGCCAGTTTGGCTCAGCAGTTAGAGCGTTGGCCTGCCCGGTCCAGAAAGACCTGGGTTCGGTTCCCGCTAAGGGCACGTTCCTCAGTTGCAGTTTGTCTCCAGCCCTGGTTGGGTTGTGTGTGGAAGGCAGCCACTTGATGTGTCCTTTTCACGTCGATGTTTCTCTCTCTCTCTCTCTCTCCTTCTTCCTCTCTCTCCCTCCCACTCTATCTGAACAAAAAATGGAAAAATGTCCTCAGGTGAGAATTAAAAAAAAAAATTCACTTTGACAAGAATTCTTTATAATCCCCACCCCCCCCCCCCACCCACCCCCGCAATTCAGAGTAGCAGATAACTCTAATGAAAGATCCAGGAAATAAACTCCAGGCTTGAAAAGACAACTGACACCCAAGTTTAAAGGTTTCTCCATAATTTCATAGAGAAAACTACATGTAAAAAGAAAGGATTCAGTGTTAAGTCAGAAATGGTAAGGGCGAGCCCAACCAGTGTGGCTGGGTACTTAGACAGACACAGAATAGATCTGTACTCATAGCCCACTACAAAATCCTTTATGATGTTTCAAAATACCCTTCTAGAAAAAACACACATCCAAGAAAGGACGTCTATTTACAATATACAAAGAACTCTAACAATTCATCAATTAGCCCAATTTGAAAATCAGCAAAAAATTTGGACACTTCACAAAAAGAAGATACATGAATTGCCAAGAAGCACATGAAAAGATGCTCAAGCATCAAACCATAATAAGATAAACACTAAAGTGGGTAAAATTAAAAAGCCTGATCACACTAAGTATTGAAGAGGATGTGGAACAAATAGAACAATTCACTGACGGTGGAAATGTAAAATGTTAAGACTTCGGGGAACAGTTTGGCAGTTTTTTCAAAGGTTAAATGTACACCTACTATATAATCCATTCCTATTCTAGAGATTTACACAAAAGAAATGAAAGCATATGTTCACACAAAGAATAATACATGAGTGTTCATAACAAATGAATTTGCAATAGCCAAAAACTGAAAACAACCTAAACGACCAGAAACAGTACATGAATAACAAATTGTGGTGTGTCCAGAATGGAATACTACTCAAAATACAAAAGGATGAACTAACCCTGGCCGGTTTGACTCAGCAGTTAGAGCGCTAGCCTGCGGTCCAGAGAGACCCGGGTTCAGTTCCCGCTAAGGGCACCTACCTCGGTTGCAGTTTGTCCCCCGCCCTGGTCGGTTGTGCAGGTGGCAGCCACTCAATGTGTCCCTTTCACATCGATGTTTCTCTCTCTCTCTCTGTTCCTCTCACTCCCTCCCACTCAACCTGAACAAAAGATGGAAAAATGTCCTCGGGTGAGGATTGATTGATTAAATAAATAAAAATAAATAAATAAATAGATGGATGGATGGATGAACTATTGCTAGGTAAAGAACATGGAGCCCTGGCCAGTTTGGCTCAGCTGTGGAGCATTGGCCGCGGACCATATAAGTCTCGTTGGATTCCAGCCTAGGGCTCCTACCCAGGTTGCGGTTCCTCCCTAGGCCTGGTCGGGGTCATGAGGGAGGCGACCAGCCATATGTCCCTTTCACGTTGATGTTTCTCTCTCTCTCCCTTTCTCTCCCTCTCTCTCTACTTGAAAATAAATGGAAAAATATCCTCGGGTGAGGATTGAAAAAAAAATCAATAAAGAACATGGGTAAATATCAAAATAATAATCCTGAGTGAAAGAAACCAGAGACCGCCCCCCCAAAAAACACACACCAAATGATTCCACTTATTTAAAAAACATACAAGTTACTCTACAGTGACAGAAAGTAAATCAGGGGATGACTGAACAGGGAGGAATTACAAAAGGGCAGGAGAAGACTTTAAGAGGTAGGTAATGGGTTATGTTGACTATCTTGATTGTGGCGATGATGGTTTCTTGGGTTGTTTCGTAAGATGTGTGTGTGCGTCTAGTCAAAATTTATCAAACTGTGCACTTTCAAGTTTGTTGTGTGTCCAACTCAATAAAGAGGAAAAATATCCACAATAAGGCATTTAAAAAGTGTTTTAAACACGAGTCTCTTGTCGATCCTTTACACTGCAAAAAACTGCCCCTCCTCTTCTTTAGCCCTTCTCCATCTCGAGACGGACACGGTCCCTTCCCCTTCTGAGAACCCGGAAAGGTTCACAAACTTCTGACTAAGCTTCAAAGTAATGTCCTGTACTTCTGGGTCCTCAACTCCTGCCACACAAACCTCCATCCCTCGGATTTAGCCTCACTGGATGGCGACAAGTGCCGCCACCACCGACCCACCTCCTTCCGTCCAAGTTCCCAAAACTCATCCATGAACCTTCATCGGACAGAGAACATCCCGATCCTGAAATGCCACAGGCACGCAAACACCGAAAGCTGCGCCCCTCAGAAGGCCCACCCTAGAAACCGCCGGTGCGGGGTACTCGAACACCCCGGTCCGGGTTACCTGCCACCGGCTGGCCGCGCCGCGGACAGTTGAGCCACCGCGGTGGGATCTTGTTGTGAGCCATGACCTGCAGCCACGCTGAGCTGCGCCCTCCGCCAACGCTCGCCGCCTCCGCCGGGGCCTCGCGGTCCGCTCCGCACCGGGAGAGCGAGGCGTCCGAATCCCTGCCGAGGTCCGGATTCCAGCCGCTCTACTCGGATAACGTCTGGGGCTGCGCGCCACTTTCATTCAGGATCAACTCCGCCGCTCTAGGCGAGCCCACAATGCACTGCTACTTCCGCCCCAAAGACCCCGCCCCCTTCTTTCCGAGGTCAGAGGGGAAGAATGAGAAGCCCAGCGGCGGAATGGGGAGGAGGGAAAGCCTTGGCGAATGAGAGGGGCGGGTTTTCTCTCGCTCCGCCCCACCAGGGCCGGGCGCGTTTGTAAACAGCTTTGCGCAGGCGCAGGTGCCTTCGTTCGGGCTGGCAGAAGAACAGGTTTTCTTTTCCCGTCTAGGTAGCAGCAAGAAAAATAAGAAAAGAAGCCAAGCCTGTTTCCATGCGTAGACTGGTCGGCAGCTTTCACAGGGCAGCTGTTTTACTGAGAGGGGCCTTCCCACCGCTATCACAGCTCAAGAGCCTGATCGGCCTTTTTCGGCCAAGTTTGCATCCTGGGCGGATCTGGGTTTGATTTGGAATTTGGAAAGTTTTCCCTGGCGTGGGTCAAGGGAAGAAGCTTTAGTGAAATTCTAAGGGCGAGGGACTGGAGTGCCAGAAATGAGGTATTTCTCTTCGGGGAGGTACTTACACGAATCTATGTAGTATCTGAAATTAATACAAAAACATTTGTTAAGAGTTGTGTTTGTACATTTCTAGAGCAAAGTGTCAAAGCATATTTGGGAACCTCAGAGAGTCCGTGTCTTAAAGTCACTAACTAATGTGTATCATTGGCAAAGGCAGGAATTGCCCAATGGGTACTGCTACTTGACGGTGTTCTTTGACTTACCAAACTAGTGGTCTTTCCCTTTCAGTTAATCAGAGGTGATTGGAAGTGTTTTATAACAGCCGTCTGGTAATAAGACTCTTTGCAGATACTAGACCAAGTTGAAGTATTAAATATTAAAGCTGGATAATGGCAAGTTAACTATAATGTAGCAGATTGACTTCCAGCACAAATGCTCAATTTGAACTGCAAGAGTGTGAAGGTTTGGGAAATATATATATATATATATATATATATATATATATATTTCAAATCCTCACAAGAGGATATGTTTATTCATTTTAGAGAGAGAGTGAGAGAAACATCAATTGGATTCATCCTGTACACACCCTGACCAGGGATCAAACCGCAACCTAGGTATATGCCCTGATCCAGAATCCAACTGGAGACCTTTTGTTTTACAGGAAGGTGTTCCAACCAAAGGAACCACCAGGGCAAGACTGGGGAATATATTTTAAAGAGTCAATGGGAAACTTGCAGGACAGCTCAGCACCCTGTCTGCCTGGACCCAGAACATGAGTCAGTATTCTTCCATAGAGAGGACCCAATGGCTACCTCTCTGAAAGAGCCTGAGACAGATCACACTCCTGGTCTGTCCTGCTGTATGTCTGCTGAGACCTTTTAGTGGAAAGTGTCACTTCTCCCTTGACTGGACAAAATAAGACTCCGTTTCCTTACCAAGCAGCATTCTGCCTAAATGATGCCCAATTCTCTGCTGGCAGAGAAGCATGGCCTTGCCTACACCTTGATTTCAGGCATCTAGCCTCAGGAAATGTAAAACAATAAATTTGTTGTTTTAAGCCACTCAGTTTTGGGTACTTCTTTACAACAGCTGTAGAAAACTAATACAAGTCCCCACAAAACCTGAGTCTGCCCCTGTTCTAGCCCATGCTTTCTGGTTCTGAAGCACTTAGAGCACATGTCCTCTGTACCTAAGTCCCTAGCCCTTATATAAATCAAACAACTTTTCTCATGCCCTTTTATTTATTTATTTTTTCCTTAAATATCTTCAGATAGAGTGGAAGGGGGAGGGGGAGAGGGAGAGAGAAACATCAATGTGAGAGAGACATATCGATTGGCTGCCTCCCACAGGACCCCGACCAGGGCCAGGACTGAACCCCAACCGAGGTATGTGCCCTTGGCCAGAATCAAACCCGCAACTCTTTGCTCAGAGGGCCTATGCTTTAACCATTGAGCCAAACAGACCAGGGCTCTCACACCCTTTTAAATTCATCTGGTACACGCCTGAGGTTTTAGTGCCCCAAAGTCTGTTGTACAATACGGTGTTTCCTCAAAAAATTAAAAATTGAACTGCCATTTGACCCAGTGATTCCACTTCTAGGAATATATCCTATGAAGCCTGAAACACCAGTCAGAAATAATATATATACCCTTATGTTCATAGCAGCACTATTTATAATTGCTAAGATCTGGAAACAGCCCAAGTGTCAATCAGTAGATGAGAGGATAAAAAAAGTTGTGGTATAGATACACAATGGAATACTATGCAGCTGTACAAAAGAAAGATCTCTTATTCTTTGAGATGACATGGAGGGACCTGGAAAGTATTATGCTAAGTGAAATAAGCCAATCAAAGAAAGACAAATACCACATGATCTCACTTATCTATGGAATATAATGAACAAAATAAGCTGATGAATGAAATAGACCCAGAGACATAGAAAGGAGTACAGTTTACACTGACAAACCTCAATGGAGGGGTGTGGGGGGAGAGGGGAGATAAACCAAAGAACTTATATGTGCATATGGGTAACCAAAGGACATAAACAACAATGCTGGGGTGGGGCTGGGATCAGGAGAAGGGTGTCTAGGGGGGGGGAAAGGAGAAACATTTGTAACAAAAATAAATTAATAAGCCCTGTCTGGTTTGGCTCAGCGGTAAAGTGTCAGCCTGTGGATCAAAGAGTCACAGGTTTGATTCCAGCTAAGGTCACATACCTCGGTTGCAGTTTGTCCCCACCCCAGTTGGGGTTGTGTGGGTGGCAACCAATCCATGTGTCTCTCTCATGTCAATGTTTCTCTGTCTTCCTCCCTCTCTGCCTCCAGCTCTATCTGAAGATAGATGTAAAAATATCCTCAAGTGAGGATTTAAAATAAGTAAAGCAATTCTTTTAAAAATAATAATAATGATGATAAAATAAAATTTTTAAAAAATAAAAATTAATTTGGGGGGGTGATGACAATGGATATATCAAATGAGGGAAGCATCAAAGATGGCTTCAGTCTTTTCTAAATAGAAATGTCTCCAACTTACCAGCTCCAAAAACCCCAAGTTTGTTATTTTAAGTATACAAACAGCACAAAAAGTGTATATGTTGGATCGCTTCTTCTGGAAAGTGAGAAGTTGGACATATTTGGGTTAAAGGATAAAACTAGAATTCCCCATAGTTCTAAAACTAAAAACTGAATCATGTGTAACCACTAGATGGAGCTAAAATCCAGGTAATCCAATCTCCGACTGCTTGGGTAACCAAAAAAGTAGGTCAGTGAGTCAGGTTCTTCAATTGCATATATAATAAGAAGAAGCATCAGCCTAACCTCCAAATTATTAAATAGCAGTAATTAGCAGAGTGCCTCTGCTGTGCAGTTTATATGTTTTTTCATTGGAAAATGTGAAATATTAAAAGGAAAAATATATTAGCTTTCAAAGCATTACTGTCAAGGCATGAAGGTTTTCAGAGATATAAATAACTGCTTCTGTATTATGCCATAAAAAAACACTTTTTCTGTTTAAATTATGAGGAGCATTGTCTGCCTTTTTTTATGTGATGCTGGAACCTGCCAGCAGAGGCAGGAAACCTTTATTCCAATCCAAGCTCTGCCACCCATGTGTATTAAACCTTGATGGGGGGAAAAATCACCCTGAAAGGCATGATTTCTTTTCCATTTGATAAATGATTAAATGGTCCCTAAAACAGTGCACCTTAGACTCAATCCCCAGGTTCTTAAAATGCAGATTCTGACTTAATAGGAGCATTAAGATGCGCCTGAGCTTCTGCATTTCTAACAAGCTCTTGAGTGATGTCCTTGCTGCTGATTGGAGGACAACTCCACCTAGTCTTCCTGTTGTGGGAAGCTAATCACTAACATAGGCAAGGGAAAATATGTCCCAAAACTAAGAAATGGGCAAATCATATATCTGTAACAATGCTTGCAATTTGAAATAGTCACCAGTCGCTGTCTATTCGAGAGGAACTCTGTTACTTGGTATTGATCTATCTCTGACATTATTTTATGCTTCTAGATTAATTAGAGCCTATTAGATTCTATTAGAGAATAAAACTATTATTCCAGTTATCAGCCATCAATATATCCTCATCATTTGCTTCGACTGATAAGATCACTTTTTTTTATTCCTGATTGATAGCACACCTGTTATCTCACATGGAACCTATTCCCTATGTAACATCTAATATGAAGCTAATTTTGTATGTCTTTGCTATGCAAAACCATAATATTTACCTGATTGCTTGCATCTTCTTCCCAAATAAATAACCCATATGTATGTATGTGTGTGTGTGTGTGTGTGTGTGTGTGTGTGTGTATGTATGTGTATATATACACCATCTCAATACTGGAATATTCTTTTATCCCCTTACAGATTCCATTTGTTTGCTAGGGAACTATTAAAATATAGCATGTGCTTAGAATCAATTTGTCTGAGAGATTTTACATTTACTCTTCGTAGTGCTTTACACCTTACAAAAGCATTTTCACCGATGTTAACCCATTTGATCCTATTAAACACTTAGTAAATTATCTTTTTTAAATTTTTTATTTCTCGACTTTAATTTTTTAAAATTTTTATTTACTGATGTTAAAGAGAAAGGAAGGGAGAGAGAGAAACATTTTTGTTGTTCCACTTACTTATGCCTTTATTGGTTGATTCTTGTATGTGCCCTGACCAGGAATTGAACCCACAACCTTGGTGATGCTCTAACCAACTGAGCTATCCGGCCAGAGAAAAACTTTGTAAATTAGATAGAGAAGATATTTTCTGCCTTGCAAGTGAAGAGATGTAGACTCTAGAAAGGTTGTGACAGACAGGAACACAGCCAGTATATCTCAACTCTAAAACCCAAGTACTTTTCACCACTCTGCTTGTGGTTCGCTGTGCATATGAATCTGTGAGCAAAGAGTGTGTCCGTGCTGTAAATGAAGAGGAAAGAAGGAAGTGGGATAAGCTTGGGACCACTTTATTAGGAGAAATGAGGAAATAAGAGTAGTACATTGAGGCAAGTTCATT